CCTTCCTCCTTCTTACTTTCGTTTCGGTTGTAGTTACTTCTTCGTTGTTTACTTCGTTCGTCGTGTACGACTAACTTACTTCTTCCTTTACCTTTCTTCTCACTACTCTCTCTCTCTCTCTCTCTCTCTCTCTCTCTCTCAGTAAGCTAGAAGAGGTTCTATTGCGTGCTCTCTTGCTTCCTTGTTTAGCAATCTCAATATTCCTGCCGAGTAATTCTCTTTCCCTTCTTTGCAACTCTCTCTCTCTCTCTCTCTAAGCAGAAGATCCCATTCTTCTCTCTCTCATCTTTTCCTGTCTAATAATCTCTGTATTTCTGGCTGAGCTAAAGATCCTATGTTGCTCTCTCTCTCTCCCTTTCTCTGTCTACTAATCTTTGTATCTCTGCCTTAGCAATTGACTCTCTCTTTCTCCGCCACTTCCTCTCTCTCTAAGCTAAAAATTCCTATTTCAGTCTCTCTAATAACCTCTGTCTGGAATCATCTCTTTCTCTGTGTCTCTCTCTTTTAGCTAAAAGATTAATATTTTGGTTTCGGTCTCGACTTTTCCTCTCCAAGTTAAATCTGGGTTTTACTGCCTCTTTCTCTTTCTAAGACTCTTTCTTTATCTCTGGCTGAGCAATCATCTCCTTCCCCTGCGAATTTGTCCCCCCCTCCCTAAACTAATTCCTGATTTTGCCCTCTTCCTCTCTCTAAGAATCTCTCTCTTACTCTGTGTCTAAAATCAGGGGCAAGAGCGAGAAAGTTCCAAATTCATTTGATTTTGTTGAGAAATGACAGAGAGAGTGAGAGGGGGTTGGTGGTTTTGACTTCATCTGATAGTTTTGAACGTGAAACAAGCAGAGAGAGAAACTGAGAAGCAAGATGACAGTAAGTTCACTGAAAGTGAAGGCTTTTCCCTTTGATCTTGCTAGAGAAAAGTTGAGGGCTTTTCCCTTTGATCTTGCTAGAGAAAAGTTGAGAGAAAATCATGAATCAGAGCAATCAAACATGGCATTTTGATGTTGTTTTTGGGTGATTTCAGAATAAACCTCTGAACATCGAGAGAGAGGAATTCTTTTGGCGCTTTGTTTCTTGAAGCTATTGTGCAATGGTAAGTTTTTTTGTGTCTGCATTTCTGAGTGATATACTCGAATTTTAATGGCAATTATATCTTAGTCATCAACTGTATAGCAGAGTTGATGATGCTATGATTCTATTTGAGAAAATTTTGATCGATTGAAATTTGTGGGGGACAATATGAGATTGAAAAAAAGGAGAAACTTGTGCTTATTATGTGCTTGAATTTTTATGGGAATTATGTTAGAGTTTGATAATTAGAATTGGGGAAGGGATGGTACTGGAATTTTGCTTTTTGTATTAGATCTTTTCCATTTTTATTAGGGTGTGGTTTGCATAAGGTTGTAACCTTAAACAATACAGGCTTACCTCTAAATTTTATCATAAATGTAGTTTTGATATAAAAAATTCTCAAGGATGGCTCGAGAATCTATTTTCATCTCTAATTATAAAATTTTAAACTCTAAAATGGTTCAAATCAAGTAGATCCATAAACACATGAAAATCTTGAAAATGAACGGTCCAGATAATGTATTGCAAGATACACTATTTCGTGGACTCGTAATCCTTTTTTCGTTTCATATTTATACATCTCGATGTCGAGATGAACAATTATAGTGTTTTGCAACATCCAAACAACCTTTTATGATGGATTTTGTAGGTGCACCTTTAATTCTACATTTTAAGGTTGCAACCTTACATAATTTTTTTCCTTTTTATTATAATGAGAACCCAACAATTTTTTAATTGATGAAAATTCAAGCAAGAAGTCTATCCAATTGGTGTAGGAGAATGGATGATACTGTGGTTTCCCTTCTTTATTTGTCTGTTTCATTTATTGTTGAATAGTGTAGGAGAATGGATAATACTGTGGTTTTCCTTCTTTAATTCTGTTTCATTTATTGTTGATGAAAAATTTTAGCAAAGGCACCTACACAAGTGAGGAGTGCAAATTTTTATTGTTATCCTAGTAGATATAATTGAATTTATGAATTTATATTAGGAGTTGATGATTAGAATGGATGATTATATGATTTCTCTCTCTTATTATAGTGTTCCATTTTGATTGATGTATTTTTAATTCCATTTTGACTGTTGAAATTCGACCAAAGCACCTTTTAATTGGAAATTGCAAGTTTTTTAGTTACACTAGCGGATATGCTTGAATATTGATGGGAGTTATTTAGCAATGGATCGTTTAAATGAGAGGATGGCCGATATTGTAGATCCATGGCTGATATTGTAGATCCCTTATTTATTAGTCTGGTACATTTCTGGTTTCATGGGCATGCTGTGACCAAACTGATCTTTGGGGATTTATTATTGTTTTATTGGTAAATATAGGTGTAATAAGCTCTCACTCAACAAAATAAATAAATAAAGATATGGATGTACTTGCATGTTGTGGAATAACCATCCAATGCCTCGTATTTTGAACAGAAACTTATTTGGAGAATGGGTGATTTCTTTTGGAGTTTCAGAGTATAAACAGTTTTAGTTCCTCGTTGTTTGAGCTCGTAAGTATTGGTTAAGCTTTCTACTTCCAGTCTTTCTAAGGATATACATAAATCTCGTTGGGAAATGAATCAAGAATGGGTAGTTAGAATACGGCAATTTACCGTAGTTGTGATCACTTTTCTTTATTTAGTTCTTTTTCATTTTCTGGTTTGATGAGACTTGAAACATGAGGTTCATTTTGGAATTCTCGTCGTAATTTCTTTGGTGGTTACAAGGAGTTCATCCTGCTTATGTTCTTGCATAGGCATCATTGTGATATTGAGTATAGGATGGACTATTTTTATTTTTCTTATTTGATGTAGATACTTGAATTTTGATGGGATTTGTGTTAGAAATGGAGAATGGATGATCCTGCATTGTGCCCTTTTTTAATTTGTTTCATATCTGACTCGATAAGAAACTCAAGCTCCAATTGGAAAAATCAAAAGTAAAATTGATTTTATATGCAGTTTTATATTTCATCAATAACTGCTGGCATGTTACAAAGGACTCATCCTGTAGCTCTTCTTGTGCAGCTGCACTTGACTTGGACTTGGACATATAATAGTATCCAGTGCTTCGTGTTTTGAACTGTGAAAATCTGAAGTGAGAAAATGGTGATAGATAGCAGTGAAGATGACAAGAAGAAGCTGGTCATCACACAAGTCAGTATAGGGGGTTTTGATGAGAGGACCTCAGCAAAAGAGCTTACTGAGTATTTAGAACGCGCAGTTGGGTCAATAATGAGATGTAGACTGAAGCGGTCATTGACACCACCCAATTCCTATCCTGATTATGAAGTCGATGCTTCACAAGTCAGAAGAACTATTGATGTTACAAGGGTCATTCCACATGCATTCGTGCATTTTGCAATACCTAAGTGTGCAAAGAGGGCTGAAACTTTGTCAGGCAAATGTGCACTAATTTTGGATTCATCCCCTTTGAAAGTTCATGTCGGGATGAACAGCTCATTTCGTGTGGCATGGAGAAAGACCACTCTTCCTATAAAATTTGAAAATTGCAAGGTTCAAATTGGGTCTTTGTTTAGTTGGTCCGAGTTTTGGGTTGGTTGGGAGGGGCCCAATTTGGGGGTAGACTTTCATGTGGATCCGTATGATGGAACTTGTGGGGTTTTTTTCACTAAGGACATCACTTTCTCCATCAAAGACTCAAACCAGAAAGTTGTGATCAAATGCGATATGAAGTTGGAGTTCCCAATCCGAGATATTCAGTGGGTGCATTTTTTTCAAGAGCAAGCTTCTTTAGGGATGCTTGTGCAGTTGAGTTCATCACCTTTGATTTATTACAGGACAGATAACGATGACACCCATGTCACTGTTCCTTTCCTTTTGTTGGATGATGAGGACCCATGGATAAGGACCACTGATTTCACTGGTAATGGTGCGGTGGGTCGGTGCCGTTGTTATAAAATCTCATTCTCTCCTCGTTATGGACTTAAAATGGAGAAGGCGAGGGACTACTTCAGGGAGTGTAGGATCTTGGAGCACGGAGTTTTGCAAAAAGTCCTTGGACCTCAGGATTATCCTCCTAAAGTGAGCACCGAGCCTGGATTCATGAAACCGATGCGCAATCATTTTTTTTCAGTAAATATTCAGGAGGGGTTAAGCTTCGAGGTGGTGTATTTGGTTACTTGCTTGGTACACAAGGGTATTATAAATCAGCATAGGTTGTGCAAGGAATTTTTTGACTTGTTGAGGAGCCAATCTCCTGAAGTTAACACTGCAGCCCTAAGGCACATGTACTCTTGTCACCGCCCAGTTTTTGATGCGTATAAGGAGTTGAAGACTGTCCAAGAATGGCTCTTGAAGAATCCAAGGCTTGTGAAGGAAACCCATATTCCCGAAGATAGCGTAGAGGTGAGGCGGTTGATGATTACCCCAACTGGAGCTCAGTGTCTTCCTCCTCAGGTCGAGCTCTCTAACCGGGTCCTTAGGAATTACAGAGAAATATCGGACCGGTTTATTAGGGTTACATTCACGGATGAAGGGCTCCAAACTCTGAATTCGGGTGTTCTTTCTATCTACACTGCTCCCATTGTCAAGGATTTCTCTCATAGCAAAACTGCACAAAAGACAGCAATATTCAGGAGGGTGAGAAGTATTGCTTTTGATGGTTTTAATCTATGTGGGCGTAGGTATTTATTTTTAGCATTCTCATCAAACCAATTGAGGGACCGGTCAGCGTGGTTTTTTGCTGATACTGAGAAGACGACTGCCGACTCAATTAGGTCGTGGATGGGTAAGTTCACGGATGAGAATGTCGCGAAATGTGCGGCAAGGATGGGAATGTGCTTTTCCTCGACTTATGCCACAGTTGAATTTGATCAGAAGGATGTAAACTTTAAGCTCGCAGAGATAAAAAGAAATGGATATGTTTTCTCCGATGGGATAGGGAAGATCACACCAGAGCTCGCAACCCAAGTTGCGAGCAAGTTGAAGCTCTCTGAAAACCCTCCTTGTGCTTACCAAGTCAGGTATGCAGGCTGCAAGGGTGTCATTGTGACTTGGCCTCGTGATGGGAAGGCCAAACTCTCGATAAGACCAAGCATGTTCAAATTCGAATCAAAGCACACCATGCTTGAGGTTATTACTTGGACCCGTTTCCAACCTGGATACCTAAATAGGCAGATAATAACCCTCCTTTCAACCTTGAAGGTGCCTAATGAGGCCTTCTTGGAGTTGCAAGATTCAATGGTGTCTGATTTGAGCCAAATACTCGTGAATGGCGAGGTGGCACACAAGGTAGTGACTAATTCTTGTGGGGAGCAAGCCAATACAGCTGCAATTATGTTGAGTGCTGGATTCACACCTCAAACTGAACCCCACCTTAGAGAGATGCTGTCATGCATTCGAGCTGCTCAGTTAGGTGACTTACTTGCAAAAGCAAGGATATTTAATCCTGATGGTCGGTGGTTGATGGGATGTTTGGATGAGTTAGGCGAGCTAGAGCATGGGCAGTGCTTTATCCAAGTCTCGAGCCCTTCTTTGGAGAATTGTTTCATTAAACATGGTAAGAGTTTCTCTAAGAGGAAACACAATGTGAAGGTAATCACAGGAACTGTTGTTGTTGCCAAGAACCCTTGCCTCCACCCTGGGGAAATTCGGGTTCTCGAAGCAGTTGATGTGCCTGGGTTGCACCATTTAGTTGATTGTTTGGTTTTCCCTCAAAAGGGGGATCGACCGCATACCAACGAGGCATCAGGAAGTGATCTAGATGGAGATACTTACTTTGTCACGTGGAACGAAACGCTCGTGCCTCCAAGTGGCAAGAGTTGGGCTGCGATGGACTATGATTCTGGCGAAGCCAAATTTGCCCCACGGCAAGTGTCGTCTCAGGTATGCCTTCTGCCTTTATGACAATTTATTTTGGATGGTATTTTTGCTATATCTTGTGACAACAGTTTGGTTGCTTTTTTATGTGCCCATTGTTTTTTGAGAAATAGGATAACGTTTTATGTGCTTACTATTGCAACTTTTACTAGCAAGGTTTTTGAACAATTTTGTCTTATTCAATTCTGCTGCAATCTGTCAACTTTCTTTGGAATTATTAGGATTTGATTAAACTTGGTTTTGATGGGGGATTCTGGAGAATTAATTTTCATAGAAATTTGTTTCAAATTTTGAAACTGTATATGGTTTTGAAGCTGTATATGGTGTTGCACGAAATTGTTCCCTAAGTTGTAGAGTAGAGTAATATATCATTCATTGTGGCACTTGTGACTATACCTAATGCACGCATTAACCTAATACATGCATGGGAATCAATATACTGTTCACTGGAAATTGGCTTAGAAACTTGAAACATTTGGTTATCTGGATAGTCTGGTGACATGATACAGCAGAACTGCAGTGAACTGAAAGACCATCAATGTATCAAGATTTTTCTCTGCTTTGATTTTTTCTGCAAGTTCAGTTAGTGACTTTTGGTGTTTTTGTGTCGTGATTGACCCTCCTTTAATTCCACACAACTACTGGTTTGATATGGTTCAACAACCAACTTCCTGATCTGTCTTTTTTATTGTTCAAGTAGCAACATTTTTTTAATGATATGATATATTATCATGAAAGCATAAATACACACTACTGTTTTGTAAACCATGAGAACTGTTTTCCTGTAAGTGGCGTCACATTGAATTAAAAGCGACAAGACAAACTGGTTTTGTATGATGCCTTCTAATTACACAATGGCAAGAATAGAGAGGTAATTAAGTTCAAACATTAGGTGGAGGTGTGGTTACTTATATAGCTGGATCTTATTCTGAACCCTTTTGATTGCGAATTTATTGCTAGATGTTGGTTTTGCATGCTTTTTATTTCTGTTTGTCACCAATTTATGTATGGATTAGAAAGCTTCTATACTGTTCAAGGCATGCTCAAAAAGGTGTGCTCTGTGTTGGACTTGGCTTGGTCCCAAGTGGAGATAACTTGGAGAGTGAAGTCTTATGAGTTTTTTTAATTAGTGAAAAGGGCACTTCCCTGACCATCAAAAACGGAAACATCTAACCATTGGGTATGCTGAGCTGGTCTTGTCTTCTGTTTTCAAGACTCGACAGTGCGTGGGCGAAGTTATTGTGGGGAAGCACAGGTCTCATTCTGAAGTTTAAAAAAATATTTGCAACACCTTGATCTTTTAGAAGACAACCAGAACAGTTCTCATTGTCGTCAATGTCATTGTACCTGTAACTCCAAATGATTGATTTACCATTTGTGTCTGATTCTTTTTTCATTCTTTTCGGTATCTGGAGAAGGCATGTATCTTCAATCCTTTCACACTACTGTTTTATTTAATTTGATCTTGGTTCTCCTGATCATGCCATCTATGTCGTCTAGAGAGAGAGAGAGAGAGTAGTCATTTTATTGTTAAAATTGTTTGTCCTTCTAATGATGCTATATTCTTAGAGTATCCATTTTATAGTTGAAATTTTTGTCCTTTTAATGATGCTATATTATTCTTCTATTTTTCATTAGGATATAATCGAATTCTTCATGAAGCATATGGTGAGTGATAGCATTGGGCAGATAAGCAACGCTCATGTGGTGCATGCAGACCTAAGTAAGGACGGGGCGCTAGACGAGAATTGCCTTTACTTGGCAGAGCTAGCAGCAATAGCCGTAGATGTTCCCAAAACCGGTAAGCAAGTCTTCTTGCCCAATAACCTTAAACCCAAGATGTACCCTGACTTCATGGAGAAGGATGGAATTTTCTCTTACAAATCGGAGAAAATCCTTGGGATCCTCTATCGAAAGATAAAGGACGCTCCTCACATAAAGTTCAAAGAAATGGAGCCTCAGTCCCTTGATGACCTCCCCTATGACTTGGACCTCGAGGTGCTGGGCTCTGAGGACTTTCTGTCGGAGGCTTGGCATTATAAATGCCTATATGATAGACAGATCATTCTTTTCCTTGGGCTGTATAATGTGAGCTCTGAGGGTGAGGTGGTTACGAGTTGTTATTCCTCAATTTCTAAACATAACAGTCGGAAGGTGGGTGAATTGAAAGAGAAGCTGAATAACACGTATAGGGCTTTGAATAAGGAGTTCAAAGCCATCTTTGAGAATGTTGGTTCAGACGTCGAGCTGAGTGATGAGGAGAAGAATGCTTTTTATGAAAGGAAGGCTTCAGCTTGGTATCAAGTGACCTACCACCCTAAGTGGGTTAAAAAGCTTGAGGAGATTAGAGCAACGAAGGGCATGACGGAGGAGTCAGGCAGGGAATTGGTCACCCCATTGAGCTTTCCATGGATTGCTGTCGATTATTTGATGAGGATAAAGATTAAGGCAGCTAAGAGGGAGTTTGATCCAACAAAACCCATTGACTCTCTTGCCTGTTATTTGCTCCCACACATTTGAATTTGGGCTTTTTCTTTGGATTTCCTTATGAAGGCCACTCTGCCACTTACTTCTGTTGTATGTTAGGTCTCTCTACTGTGTTGATATGGTTGATATGGTGAGTCTAGATCTATGAAGAACTGTAAATCTGATGACTATGCAGCTGGTCTCTCTCTAATATCAGGTCATGCGATTGTAGATTTGTATTGGTGCTGTGTTGATATGGTTGATATGGTGAGTCTAAATCTATGAAGAACTGTGAATCTGATGACTATGCAGCTGGTCTCTCTCTAATATCAGGTCATGCGATTGTAGATTTATATTGGTGCATTATGGGTGTTGTGTCTCTCTCTACTGTGTTGATATGGTTGATATAGTGAGTCTAGATGTATGAGGAACCGTGAATCTGATGACTGTGCAGTTGGTCTCTCTCTAATATCAGGTCATGCGGTTGTAGCTTTGAATTGGTGCATTATAGGTGTTGTGTGCGTACTGTATATGTAAATGGAAAAGTTGTATTTGTATTTTGGAAGTATTGTGTGCCTACTTGGAAAACTCGTATTTGTATTTTGGAAGAACCACCACTGTTTGTATCGGTAGAGAAATGATAATGTGATTTTGTTGGTGTTGGTGTTGATGTTTGGGTTATATTATGTTGCAATTAATGATGGAATGGCGATTTTACATTTGGATGTAAAGCTTTTTCGGGGATTTATAATTTATGGATGTGTATAGATGGAACATGGGTTCTCATTTCTTCCAAATTTCTCCACCCCCCCTCTCTGGTTTCTTGTAATCCAGGGTTTTTGCCTTCAATTTCAGTTCCCAATTGCTTGGTTAGTCATAGCATCTCACTCTCTCTCTCTCTGGATTTTTTTCCCTTTACTGTTCTCTCTCTCCCTCTAGATTGTTTTTTTCCTAACTGCTCTGTTGTCGTATGATAAAAATGTGCGAGCATGTATGTTGATTTCTCATTGCTCTCATAGTCTATGGTCTCTCACATTAGTTATAATTGGCTCTCCATAGTCTATGGTGTCTCACATTAGTTATAATTAGGATCTCTCTCTCTCTCTCTCTGATTCGATAGTCTATGGTCTCTCACATTAGTTATACTTAGCTCTCGATAGTCTATGGCGTCTCACATTAGTTATAATTAGGATCTCTCACTCTCTGATTCGATAGTCTATGGTCTCTCACATTAGTTATAATCAGGATCTCTCTCTCTCTCTCTCTCTCTCTCTCTCTCTCTCTCTCTTTCTCATTGCTCGATAGTCCATGGTCTCTCACATTAGTTATAATTAGGATCTCTCTCTCTTGGTTTCTCTCTGTTTTTTTTCTTTTCTTTTTTTGAACGGTAAGTGAAATTCATTGAGATAATGATGACAATTCAAAATAAGAAAATAAAAAGAGAACGAGAGAAAAGGCAGCAAAGGAGGTCGGGAAACAAATAGAAATTAGAGCGACGATCCTTCTTTAGCTAAATGATCAGCAGCATCATTTTATTCTTCGAAAATGCGGTTGAAAATTATTTCTCCCATGTAAGACTAAAACAACGATGTCCCTGATCAAGAACCAGGCCCAAGGCACGAGATCTGGATTTTTGCACTAAGAAATCACATTGGCAGCGTCCCCTTAGATGATGAGGCGTGAATTATTCGACTGAAGCTTAGATCTTCCTTTCAAAGCCCACAAATAAGCTTCATTAATGTCGCAAAAGTGCATGTACCCTTGGTACTGCCACTGGACAATTCCATCTCTCATTGCTCGATAGCCTATGGACTCCAATTATGTATGATTAAGATCTCTCTCTCTGAACTAGGTGTGCGGCACTGTTTGCAACCACCCATTTTTGCAAAAGTTGTTGCTTATGGTAGCATATGATACAGTCCCATTCAATAAAAAAGGTGGTAGTTTTACTATTGTTTGCAAAAATGAAGAGCAGTTCCATGATTTTAGTGTGAAATTTAATTGTTCCTGTGAAGCAGAAATTAACCAAAATGCATTTAAAGTAAGAAGTCGAGAATAAAGTTTCAAGATGGAAGTTGTGGTTAGCCGCCTTTTGATAGCCAGCATATTCAATTTTGCAGCAGGAGAAACCATTTATGGGAGTAGTATATTACGAGACTATCCGGTTTTTGTACAAGAATATCACAATCACTTTTAGCCATTGGACCTGCCAAAATAATTAATAAATTCTATTTTGAACTTTGTACCGACTCAATGACACATCCCCAACCACTTGGTTTCACGTCTGGTGGTCAATAAAGAATGTGATCTCCTTGTGCCAATGGTCTTTTTGCATACATTTCCATAATTTATAGTTCAGCAATGTCTAGAATGAGAAAATGAAACCGGGAAAAACTGAAAAATGATGAAGCACTTAGAATCAACCTCAAACACCCAGTGGGGAGTGGGGGAGGAGTAATTACCCAAAAAATGAAGTGGGGGAAGAGTGTGTGGGGTAAAACATTGTTTTCTTCTCAGCTGAAAATTGTAAAGTTACACTATAGAACTGCAAGCACATTTGTGGTCATACAAGATCAGAACACAGCCTATTGTCTGTCTTAAATCTCAGTAGGGGGCTTCAATCTTATCAGCCTTCTCACTCTATCCTTGTCTGTGTTTTCAAGCATCCCCTTCACCACAAAAAAAAACAAATCAAACAATATGCACAATTATTATAGAAGATTGTATAAAACAAAATAATTACCTTTAGTACAAAAATATCATAATCACCCCTAGCTATTAGGTCAAATCAGACAGCTAGAGGTGTGCCATGGAACTCCCCTGAGTAACTCGAGATTGGCAAGTTACCGAGTCCGGAGCAACATGCATGGGAACAAACTGTATCTGTCAGGTTCCCAATATTTTATTCTTTTCTTGGCTGAACTCAGCCTAGAATCTGATAGAAACTCAGCCAAGCCTATCAGATCTGACTCAAGCTCAGGACCCACGTGAGCTCTGATGCAAGTACTCGTTTTTTGCACTGATAAATAACTAGTATGAAAAGGTTGGTTATTGAGTAGACCCAACCCATTGCCCATTCTTTTGTATAGCAGATGACTACAAAAGGATCCAAAGTTCCTACAAATCATTCTCCAACCCAAAATTGTGAGTTCTTTAAAACTTCCAAATATCATAGATTAACTACCCATTAAATGGACAGGTCAGATCTGATTTTTGAGGTGGTAGTGGAGCTGAACACTTTAGAGCTCTAAATCTTTCTTAAGCGGGATAGTTGTTTCATGGAGAAGAATGATTTTTGCAGTTTTTCAGGTCCTCAAAATTGAGAAATTGGTGAAATGAGGTCTAGCTTGGGATGTAGTTATGGCCTCACAAAAACAATTTCTAAAGTATTGATGCAATTTCCTTTTTTAAGGTTGGTCGCTAGGTTGAGTAGGTTACACCCATAAAATTTGGGGTCCTAGAAATACTTCGAGTTTGGGTTTCAACCAAGGGAGCAAATGTACATTTTGCACCAGGAGGAGCATAGAATCTTTTCAACTCCCATTAAATTACGAATCTTACAAAGAGAAAACAAAAGTCATCTTTCGTGGGTAGCATTCGGTTATTTTATATTTTCTTATTTTTCTAAATATAAATTACAGAGCATATGTGCTTACCTTCCAAACAATTTCATCTAGGCATAGGCAGATCTTTCCATACTTGTCTAGGAATATACGCTCGGTGGGTGGCTTACCACAAACATCCTTAACTGATGATATTATGGCAAATATGACCTCTGCCACTTTTTAAATCACATAAAAGAAGTATCAAATTGAAATCAAAATAACTTAAATGGAAAGGGAAAATAAACATGAGGGCTTATCCGCTTACATGCAAGTTCATCATACTCATCCTTGCCGACAACATAAACGCAGACATCCCCGAGCACAGCATAAACAATATAAACAGATCTGAAAGCACATGTGAAATCCAAGTTTTCTGCTTAAAAAATAAGATATGAAAACATAAATGCAATGGAGAATAGCCATCTCAATTTACTCTTTCTCATGCTTAAAAAACTAAGAAATGAAAATATAAATGCAATTGGGAATAGACCACCTCAATTCTCTCTCTCTCTCT